ATATGCTTTATACACATAGATCTTTTATAATTTGTCTTCTTTTATAAACAAATTTTGGCAAATTATTTATAAATGTACTTGTTTTGTAATCTAATTTCTTACTAAAATTTCCAATGCTTTATATTAAAAAATATTATTAGCAAGGACAAACATTTTAGAGATATATTTATATCATACAGAATCTTTGAGGATGAGACATTTTTTCTAGGGGATATAAAGTATTCCATTTACCTTTGGCCATCAGTACCTTAGTTGTGATACACTTTGCTGCCGATGGGACAACTGAAGTCAGCTTTATAGGGTAGTGGTTAACAGGATTGGCAGTGAACTTAAATAGGACTGGTTTCTACTCCTGATTGTATCAACTGCCTAGCTAAGTGGATTTTGACAAATAACCTTACTGAGCATCGGTTTCCTTATACCCCACCAAGAAAAAACAAAATCTACCTCGCAGAGCTGTTTTAAGAAATGACATTTATAGAAGGCTAACAGTTATTAATGTAAGTATACAATAAATTAAAACCATTGCTACTATTATTATTAGTGCTATTATTATTATTAGTGGTGACGGCATTAGTCGTCATGGTAGGATAATGTTAGTAATGATGAGAGTCGTATACAGGAGATAAGCATAACTATAAGCAGAATTTTAAAAACTAGGGGGTCACTATTAGAAACCATCCATGTTCTGCATAGTTTATGCACATCCAAGTATAGACTTCAAGGATGTTTTCAGCTTCCTGAACTCTCATCTTCAAGATAAGACCTGGAATTTGTTGAAGCTCCCTGAACAATGAAGAAAAAAGAGCAGCTGAGAACAGAAACTCTGATGCCAAAGTGCTGCTGTTGCTGCATTATTGGGATACAGATCACCCCATCAACCACGATTCCAAGCATCCCAGATTCTGTGCCTGCTCTGTATTTTATTGCTACAAATACAATATATAGCCCCCTTTCTTTATCTTTTCACTAAGAAAATTATTACATACTCATGCAATCACAGAGTGATAGCAAAACCAGAAAGTATGTATGAGTGTGATTTTGATAATGGGTTTCAGGAAAAACCTAGATAAGCAGAGAAAGGAGATCTCACAGAGATGACAAACATTTAAAAAAAAAAAAAAAAAAAAAAGAAGTGTGGAGTCAATGGCAGAGCCTAAAGGAAGAAAGAATAGCTGGCATCAGATCACAGAAAAAATGACTTAATTATAGAGGTCATAAGAACAAAATTAGGATTTTTGAGAAAACATATTTTAGAAGTCATACTGGTTTTGTTTATTAAAAGTCTGGGTATTAACGTCAGGAACAAGCATGACCATGACATACAACATAAGTGCAAAGCAAAGTTTATCCAGAAAAAAAAAAAAAATGTAACAGAGAAAATCGATATAATGCTTTTAGTTTCTTAGTTTTTTTTCCATCTCACAGAAAGGAGTGCTTGGACTAGGTGCACAGGGAATGCTCTTGAAGAGAATCTCCACCCTAGGAGGGAGCAGTGGGTACCACACCCTTTGATCTGTCTTGTTGAGATAAGGCCATAAGGATAAAATGAACATTTTTCCCTCTGATTTTGTCCTCTGGAGGAATCCATTTGCCAGTCACAAAAGGCAAATAGAAATCGAATAGCCTTTAAGGCTAATCCAGTTTAGTTCTGAGTCAATTCATTGCTAGTCCACCTTGAGGCACGGAATAGAGAAAAGCCAATATGGTTGTTCAGAAGACAAAGAATAATTTTCTCTTCTCAATAAAGTGTGGCCATAGGGTTGCAAACTGGAATGGAGAGGAGGAAATGATTATTGGGAATGTGAAAGTCAAGACAAGGAAGGGGTGGGTTTATTATTGAAGATCATGTAAGTGGCTACTAAGTTTCTTAAGAATGAGGACAGTGATAAACCAAAATAACAAAGCATGATAAAAATAATAATAAGATACTAACACAGATATTCTCTTTCAATGAATGAAAAGGAGTAATGATTTGGTCTTCAAATGATTTTGACAAGTAGAGTTAAACAACAAATAAGCTGACAGCAAGCATGGAGAAAAGAGTGAAGAAAAGTGGCCCAGCAATGACAAGGCAGAAGATCATCTATCCCAACTCCAGGCATTGTTTTACATGGCTGTGAGAGTAATATCATTTTTCCTGTGAGAAATCAAAAATAGAAAAGAATCTTCAGAAAACAGCCAGCTTTCAGTTAGAGCGGGTAGCTGCAGAGAATGTTCAAAGAAAAGTTGAAGGACTCAAAGGATTTTGTGGTGTCACACTGAGATCCATCAATGGTCATAATTGGACTGAAGGGATTCCAGTAAGTCCTGAGGGTATTCCAAGCCAGAGAGTAATTAGAATCATGGTGATGGTAGACGACAGGAGAAGCTCAAACTTTTGAGAAGGCCTGATAAATGATCAGATGTGAACAATGATGAGATTGATATCAATGGCTTGCTAGAGAAAAGAAGGGAATTTATAATTTTTGCTTGATTCTTAAGTATAGCTTAATCTTCAGGTCATAGGAGCAAACCCTTGGTGCTGAGGTCTGGAAAGAAATATTTAGAGTAGTGACATGCAAGAGCTGTTGTGCAAAGTATTTCAGATTTAGTTTGGAAGGTGCGAATGTGTGTTACCAAGAGCAGAGGGTGGTCTTATTTTTCAGGGTGTTCCTATGAGTGGTCTCATAGCACAGGTAGCTTCTGTCTCAAGATTTTCTTGGTACTATACCATAAATATGTCTTTACGGACCTGTTTGAAGACTGAAGGACTTAAGTTGTAAGCTTAAAAACTCGCTTGACTATAAAGTTTATTTTCTATTTCAGTGCATGATAAATTAGCATTGTGTCTATTTTTTTCAGTTTTTCTTTCTCAACAGTTTGCAAAATTACCATTATACAATGGAATATATTTGTAATGATAAACTGCAAAAAAAAAATGAAGTTTTGTATATGGCAGAGATGCATCCATGTTGTTGAACAGCATTAAATAGATGAAGTCCTTAAGTATGACAATGCATTATGTTCAAAGAAGAAGAAAAGATAAATATTCATATAATTTTTTTCCACAATAAGGTAATACATTCAATATACCAAATAATTGAGAAAAAGTAAATTCAAACTAATCTTGAAAAGAATACTTCAAATAATATTTTACATTTACTGTTAATAACTTTTTATGTCTAAATACATAAAAGGAGGGCATATACTCTACTAATGTAAATAATGACTAATACTTTTGTACAAACTTGTTTGCTAAATATTCATACACATTGCTGCAAGTATGAAAAGTTGTTTTCATGTGACATAGAATGCTACTCACATTTGAAAATTTACAAGTAGCTATACACATGATATAAAAGAATCTTTGACAATTCCAAGGTTTAAGTCATTCGTTTTCAAATGCTAATTCCATACCAAACAAGAGAAAGGTAGAAGACCTTTCATTTGGCAAACCTTTTCTTTTTCCTTTTTTTCGCAGAGTAGTAAAAATAACTTCAAATCAGGATTTAGACTGCTCTGTTGAATTGTGGATTTCACACAGAACAGCCTTTTCCCACAGTTGGATTTCAGTGGGAAATAAAATGTATGCAACATAAGGGATTTAAAGCTTTTATTTGTGAATATTTACCTTAAACTATGATAAAATATTTTGTTTGGTTCCTTTTTCTCACTTTACATACATTACTTTATCTCAGTATTAATAAAGAGGCTTCTATAATATGTAGTTTTATTTAAAGGAGCAAGTAGACCCAGCGGACATAAGTCTAAAGGAGCCTGTGAATTTTAAATTAAGTGTCTTCGCCTCAAGAAAACAGTCTTAGCCTCCATGAAGAATTCACCAAGCTGTCTTAACCACTTGAATCTATCTAGCCCTGGGAATATGCATAAGGCTTTATTTCTTCCTTCTTTTTCTTTATTTATAGATGAACAAAATAAAGTTCCCTTTTTTGTCCACCTCCTACACTTCAAACACACAAGTATTTAAAAGCCATTCACTCCATGTTCAATCACCACGTTTTAGTAGTGTCACATTTTATTTGGAGATACGTAAAATTGTATTTTTTAAAAAACATTTGTTTTCCTTTTAAAGAAACGAATTTACATAATGCACAAGCCTCTGATGGGCACCTCTATTATATATCCTTCATGGATAAGCTTTACCATTGGGGGAAAAAATAGAAGTTGAATTGTTTTTTTCTATTGTCAGTTTTCCTTTGAAGCATCAAATAGGATATTGATATTTTTTCGCACTTAAGCTATTTACTTACTGTGACTTAACGAGCCGTTATAAAGTGACCCATATCCCCATCGTGCATTTCATACAACTATTACTAGAACTTCTTTTCAGAAGGATTTATCTACTAATCAATACCTTTCTTATTGTGCCATTTCCAGAAGTACTAAACAGACTCCTCTCTAAAGCAGGGCTTGACTTTAGCTTTGGTTCACGCTCTCTAAGAGTTGTACAATGTACAACAGGGACTCTAACAGGTGGATCATGTAGTTTCTGTGATGTGGTTATGGTCACCATTATTTTTGGTTATTTCCAGGGAAGATGAAACTCATTCAATTGCATGATCAGGTAAAAAGCAAAGTCGTTCCAGAAATTTAAAATTATAATTAAAACCATTATCTTTACTGAAAGCAAATATGTCAATCATTAATTTTTAGATGTTTAACATTGTTTGCAAAAGATTATTTTAGATTATATACTCATAGAGGCAAAGTTAAAAATTCATCGTTATTAATGATAAATATTATCTGAATTCTTTTTCTCCTCTTTTTCTTAAACTTGACATTTTGACACTGAATTGAAATAGGTAGTTGTAAATTCTGCAGGAACCATACACAAAATTTCTTTTGAGCAACAGCACTCTCCCTGTGATATATATTTTCTACAGATGATTTACAGGTTACAGACATGCTGTGACCTTTCTCTCCCAATTGCAAACAGATTAAGGAGAGCTGATTAACCGAGACTAAAAACACTGTGTCGTTTTTTCTTATGGGGGGTCTTTGACAAAGCCCTCCTTTCTGAGTCCTCCCACTTCATTCGCTTGCAAATCATTGTGTCCAAAGAGGTCTTCAGTCCCCCAAGCCCAAACCTGGCGCCCTGCAGCGCCATCAGCGGCAGTATCTTCCTATTTGAGGGACGTTTCTTATTAATCAGAAACGCTGAATGGAAACCAATCAGATAGAGAGTTCCTTTGGCTTCAGCTTCCTGCCTGTCTGAGTTAAAAGTGATGCTCGAAGAGAAAGCCACACTGAGATGCATGAAGATTCAGCTGTGAAGATACTATAAAAAGAGAAGAGAAGGACCGAGACAGAAGCAACAACGGAATTGTTAGTGCGGAGTAGGGCTAAACTCAGTTCCATTGTTAAGCAAGGTAAGTGTTATTTACTTTGCTTGACAATGTAAGCTATTCAGTTTTTGCTTTCTTATAACGAAGTAGTACAAATATTGCTTTTCTCCTGGTTGCTATATTTTGCTCTCTCTCTCTCCTCTCTCTCAACACTTGGAAGCACATAAGAATACATTTTAGTAGTATTTGAATAAAATGTTTACATGCTCAGTGACAAAACTTGCAACATTTGCTTCTTATTTTACTTTTACAAAGCTGATACCTACTCAAGCTCTTTTTATAGTCCCCATATTTGCATATGGAATATTGTTGTAAAAATAAAACTAAACTTAAAATTGTATCAGTTGATCGTGGTGGCTTTCAATTACTCACATATTTATGTGTTCATGTATATGATTATTATATTAATTTGAAATGGACTCCTGGTCTTCTCATAACTTTTGTTTAAATCATTTGAGTCAAAACTGTCAAAAATAAGGGCATCTTTATTCATAATTGAATAATAAATGCTTTCTTTATTTTCAATATTATCAATGAAACAATGTATGAATAGTAAAAATGCCACAGATGCATATTGGATGTCAGGATTAAGGTGATCACTCTACCTGGTAAAAGAGGTTTCTTCACATATTTGTGACTCTCACTGAGGTCAACACTTTGAATGTATATATCTGTTAGCTATAATTGTTTTCCATTATTGTAGGCAAATATATCTTAATGTCATGACGACTAGATGAAAGCCACAAGAAAGGGAGAGTGTTTCTAAGGCAAAATTGGCATTGAAAAAAATTGAAGTGATGTGGGAAATACATTGATTTGGTGGATAATTGTTTTATGGTGTTTTCCATCGCATGCTCAAGATGACCATTCACACCAAATAAATTTGTGCAGGTATGCTTGTCTCAATAAAGGCTTGGATTTTAGCTATAAAGTCATCAAAATTCTTTAGTATTGACAGTTAGAGATTGTTACCAGGGTGAAAGTCTCATAATCTGTTTTAAATAACAAAGGTGTCATAAAAAGAAAGTTATTAACTGTAGTAGATAAGTTTACATTTATTTGTATCATCAACTTTTGATGAAGATACAATGGACTACAGATCTGAGGAGAAATTGGTGGTCTTCTCCGGAGATGTGTTGTCATTTTATATTTTGTATTATAGATATATGAGATTCCTAATAGTGATTTTTTCACAAGGTTTCTAAATCTTTGTAGCATGAAGAATGAATGATTTTGTGACATCAAAAAAAGTGGTAACTTTTGCAAGACAGAAGGGAATATTTCTTCATCTCTCTTTGCTTTACCTGTGAATTTAGAAGAATTGCCCATCTTCAGGCACAGTCGTTAAGAATGACTTTGATTATTCAAGATTCTCAATTTTGTAAAAAACCTTCTCCTATATTCTGCAGAAGATGAATCCTATTTTTCACATTCAAACACTACATCATTGCTTAGGCAATGCTATGTCAATTGTGAAATACATTTTTGCAACTATAAAACTGGCTAGTCCAGGTTTGAAACATAGATCTTTTGAAAGATAAGGAAAATGAAATAACATGCTATTACAGCACATAGCACCAAAGAACTTGAACATAACATAAATAGCATGTGTTTGTAGTCTTGTCACCAAATATGTTATGGGTTTGACTGAAGTTTTTCCAAATGAGGAGTAGACAAATAATTATATGCACTTAATAGATATATGTTTACATGTTGAAATACCTTCATCTCTATACGTGTTTTGAAAAATGAAAAAGAAAGTAAGATAAGTACATACTAGGAGCAAATCCAATTCTGGAAATAAATAGAAAAAATGCTTTAGAGAAAGCAGAGAGTAGTATGAATTTAAGAGTAATTCACTGAAGTTAGACAGATTTGGTAGTACTAATAAAAACAATAGTCCTGTCAGATAATAATTTTTCTAGGATGAAAAATACTATTTTTCTTTTATTACAGTATTTGAAAGTTTAAAAATCTTTGAAATGGTTTGCATAATTATGCTACTGTTATTGCATTCATTGCATAAAGGAAATAAAAATGTCTCATACCATTGCCTGTGTGTCAGAAAAGTACTATATCAAAGTTGATCTTGAAATTATTCTTTTAAATGTTGTGTTGCTCAGCTTGATAAATCGTGTGTTGAATCAGAAGCTCATCTGAAGTCATCCTGCATGGAGGGATTTGTTCTGGTGTTTTCCTATAACCCCTATACATGCCAAGCTTAGCCAATGCTGCGTGCCTTCCATGGTACATTCACCAAGTAAGATTTTTAAAGCAAAGTTAATTAATTTTTTTTTATTCTACTGGCTTAGCTCTATTTAGGCATCAATAGTGATATGAGGCAGATGCTCCTTCCCCACAATGTTTCTACAGTATATGGATGTAGTTAATAAGAATGCTGTAGAGAGTGCTTACAAATTATATAATATAAAATATGCAATTAATGTGGCAGCATATAATATGCAAGAAAGTATAGATTAAGGTGAAAGTTAATTTTTTAAAATGTGTGAATGTGTCATGAATAAACATTGGCTGTAACTTGTTCTCTATGAAAGTAAACAGTCTAGATAGATAATTATTTAATATTAATGTAGATACTTCAATATAACTTATTAATTTGCTATATTCTTTAAGACTAATTTTGCTCACTCAAAGACACATTTAAATATGATGCACAAATAATCTCACATTAGAAAAAAAAGGATGTCTTAAAAAATGTCCAGTGTAATACTTTTGACTTCAAGGACACACACATACACACACACACACACACACACACACACACACACACAAGTCAATAGCAATATTAACATAGAGTAATTTTGATTCATGGTGAGATTTTTTTTGTAATAAAAATTCTATTTAGTTTCTTGGGTATTTTACCTTATAAATCATCTGCTTAAAGTTAAATTTTCTTAAAGAAGAAGAAAGCATGCTAAATAGAATCAAAAGGACATTGATTTAAAATGAGTCTTGTTTGTTTTTACCTGATGCTAAATTTATAAATGTGGTCATTTCTCTTATAGAACATAAAACATGTTTCCTAAGATAAAGCAATTTCTTTCTCTGTATCTTGCATACTTGTTTTCAGAAACAAGTTGTCTTTTCAAAGATATCCCAAATAACTCTCAATAACCATAACATTATCTTATTTAGGTGTTTATATAAAATTTTGGAACTTTAGAAAAGGGGTTTTAACTCTCTCTATCTCTAATTTTACACATGTGAAAGCAGAGGCTTAGAAAGAGATCAGGTTACATATCCAAGACTGTCAAGTTTTACATATATATACACACACACACACGTGTATATATGTATATATATGCAATATTACGTGGAACCTTAAGGTATTAAGTCATGAAACTCAAATTAGAAATATAGAAAAATACATAAAGAGATGATAGGCAGATAGATAGATAATAGATAAATACATAGATGATAGATAGATAGATAGATAGATAGATAGATAGATAGATAGATAGAGATGTATAGACTATTGAAAACAATGAATTCTGGATTGTTATAAACAATCTGAAAAGGTTTTTTGTTTTTTTTTTTTTCTCTTGTGAGTCATTTCAATTTCTCTTCCTGGAAGCACCATTATCCTCATTATTAAAATATGGTAAGGAGTATACAGTGAGGAAAATGTCTTTATAGCACTCTTATACATTTCCATAACAGCCCTACCATGTTAATGCACTTATCCCTAAATTTAGCACTAGAAAGACATGGTCTTCTAGTCACATTACAAATGCAAAGTGCCTGAACAAAAGCAGGGTCTCTGGAGCCTGACCAAGAGACTTCATATTAGCACTTCCAAGAACACCTCTCCAAACATAAAAGTCATTATAATGGATCTCATTGGCTGTGAGAGGAAAGTGGAAACATCGTGGGGTGCTGTGGTCACAGATGCTCTGTGTGTTTGTGAGTGTGTGTGTTTGTGTGTGTGTGAGAGAGATGTATTATTTATTTATATTTTATGAAGAAAAGTAAAGACAAAAAGAAAAGAGCTGAATATTTTCTTAAAATGACATTCAAGGCTTTTCTGAGTATTTTTTTCTATCTTATTAATTTAGCAAATTATAAACCAGTTGCAGGAGAAACAAGCATTTTTGTATATCTTCCATTTCTCTTGATGAGCAAGGTAATTTTTGACCTCTCTAATTGATCGATGAAACATTAGAGCATATGATGGTTTCATAAATATGGATTAAAAAGCCAACCCCTCATATCAGATTTTGAAATTGGCTCTACAATTCCGAAGTGTGTGGATGACTTCATTTTAATTTCTCCTCCAAACACTAATTCAATTTACAGTGGAAATATAGTAACTAATAGTTATTATTTAAATTTGAATATGAAAGATTTAATATGTTCATTAATGTATTGGATGTTGGTAGAAACATATATCTAACAGAATTTATATTAGAATATGCTGCCCTTGACATACTTTATATATTATTAACACAGTTTCCAAAGCATAATAGACTTTTTCCTCATATTTTGTAAAAGAATATCTTTGGAAAGTCATATGAAAAAAGAAACGATATACACAGCAAGCTGTATAATGGGGGAGACAACAAATAATGCATATAACAAAGTGTAATCCAGGCAAAAGAGCAACAGTAATTCACTTCCTGGGTCAAAAGACATGATATGAAATACACTAGTTTTATAAAACTGAGAAATTAGTCTTAAAAGTTGTCTAAGGGAGTTTTCCCCGGACAATCAGCCAACTCTAAAATGTACTTGTTTTTCCCTACCAAAGCAGGTTATTGTAGTATTATTACATAATTTCTAGAAATGTTTTAAAATATTCACATCTATATGTTATAAATGCTTCACAATATAAAGAACATATAAGAAAAATGTTTCCTTTTTCATTTTAATGGTAATTAAGCTGCAGAAGAAATGTAACAGTTTCCTGTTAAAGAAAACTTAACAGTTCAAGAAAACTTAACAGAAAGTTAACAGAAAACTTAGTTGAAATTACAGACTAACATCTATGTATCTATCTATGTATC